ACACTCCGCTATTTCAACATCTCACTTACATCGCTGCACTGCAATGTAAATGCCATTTCCTGGTTTTTAAATTAGTTTTCGTACTAAGGCCATTTCTGGTAAAATATTTTTGAACTTGACACTCATGTCATGATTTTTAAGTTAGGCTTTGTCGCTTGTGTTCGCCATGCAATCATGCTATACCATACCAGTTTTGCAACATGTCATGTGAGCTTGCCAAGTCTACCCTTCAGCCCTGCTGGAATACTGTGTTGCCCACATTTGCCAATCAAAGGCTTGACCAGATCCTAACAAACGTCAAAACCTGCAAGGGATGTTCGCCACCGCTTGTCATTAGTCTTTAGATTATGTGTCTATTTTTCTGACTTGCCAGGCCCTTTTTTTTTCATGGACTCTCCTGGTATTGGAGAATAAAACATTCGTAGTTGCAGCAAAAAATATTTTTCTCTTCAGTGCTTCTTTGATATTTATATGTGAAGAATTGACTAAAACGTCATTGATGTGCAAGTCCCCTGTCTGCAATATTTAGTTCGTCAATACCGTAGTAAACACGGCACTGATGATCAGTGACACCTAATCAACACAAGCCCTTAGAAATGCCTTGTGAATTGTTATACAGGCAAATTTTGCTTACCAATCGTGCCAATCATGCTCCATATAAACTTGACTTTTTAGGGGATAGCTTAAACTCGGCTCAAAATAGGAGACCATTGAAAACTCTGCATAATGCGATGAACAAATTAAGTTCTCAAATAGTGGTTGAAAAGTAAAAGGTCAGCTCGTAAACATTATGTGCTTTGCCATAAAACTGGCATAGATTTTAATAACAGTGGTATTTCAAAGAAAGAGCACATTCTGGTCAAACAGTGTTACTTGATGAGAAAACTATGATGCAATTTGTTTTAATTATTTTTTTTTACAATGAACGAGTCTGCAATAGAGAGACCTTCGCAGCTTGCCAGCTGTGCAACATGTTTATTAACCAGGCATGCATTGTCCAACTGTTTCGGGGAAAAGAAAAAGCGTCCCCTTTCCTCTCTCATTCGTTAAAATCATCAGTCAGAGGTAAAATGTTCATCCCCAGGAGGTCATTCTTTTACGCTACCCACTGTGCTCTTTGTTGCGAAGTGTCAATGTACCGCCTGTTGCTACAGATTATTACCTATGTGTGCTGCAGGCTTACGTGCTAGGTTTCTAAAATTACTCCTAGCCGCACAACTTCAGACAAGTCAACACTATTCCAAGTAATTGCCAACAGCCTCGCGCTCAAAAAAAGTTCGCAAAGAGAAACCTTTATTTTGTGGGTACAAAAAATTGTATTCATGAGCATGAGAGTCTATCAGTAAACAACTGACTGAGCACAAACAACATTTTAGGAATGATGCTCGTAGTGCAAAGACAAACTGCCAAGTCCAACGAGACCATGCTCAATCATTTCACTGCTCCACGGACGACATCACACAAAGCTTACAACTAGAAAATAGTGATTCTAATGCATTCTAAGTAAAGGCATGATGAGAGAAAGGTGCTGAAGAACAAGACTAATGCCTGGCTTTCAAATCACAAAGCTTCCTGGTAAAACAAAACTGACTGCACCGCACACCACTACATTACCCAGATTTCACAAAATATAGAATGATAGATGTGTAAGTACACGACATTTGCCTTGCTGGTCAAATCATATACAGCATTATCTAATTTGGCAGGATCATCAGAGGAGACGCATTTTGAAACTTATCCAACCAAAAATTGTGTCATCCGGGCATAGATGTGGCCAACATTCACGGGAGTTGTAGACCGGGCAAAGAGTCTAACTTTCAGCACCTGAACAGTTTAATGAATGGATTCGGTCCAATATTCCAGCTGTTTCCTGGTCATGTATTCTTGAAACTATCATTCCCACTGTTGTGTTGTTAGCATTATGTGAATAAAGCTCAGTGAGCTCGCATAACACTTTAGGGCACTCAGCTACTCAAATGTCCTGAACGAGGTATTGAGAAAACTACAATTGCTACTCTGGGCCTCTATAGCACAAGACCTTGCTGAGGCTTACTTTAAAAGACAAATGAAACCGATTTTGTGGCCCTTATAAAAAGCATGCCAACCCTTTTGAATCTTTTTTTAACTTCAGAATAGTGGGTACATATGCGTGTTTTTAAGCCAACCATAGTTTTCTTTTTTTATCCAATTTTCACTTAGCAAACCATGCATAGGGCAACAACATACAATGCATACCAATTTAAGCAGCAGTGATAAATTATTTGTGGTAACTAATAGACAAAGAAAAACTCATTAATATTGTTTCCAACAAGGAAAGACGAGCCCTTGACACTTCCACTTCTTTCCTTCAATGCAAATTATGTCAGTTAGAACTCTGCACTTATCCACACAATTCTTTTGTCTTTCTTTCAGACTGCTGTAATTCCAACAGGTAATGTATCAGTGCTGCTTTCTGCACTTAGCTATTGTCAGTTATAGGTAAAATGTAAGCGCTTACCCAGTTCTCCAACTGCACGCATCATTCAGCCTACTTAAACTAAAAAATTTCAATCATAGTTTGGATCGCAACTGGGTTTTGATACGAACCCAATTAGTCTGACTGGGGCTTGTACTGTTGTTGCCATATGAAAGTTTTGAGAAACAAGGTTTGGGTATGGGCCACTTTGCATTCCATCACAGATATTTACACATGAAGCACACAAGGGGAGACAGAATGAAACAGCCAAATGCTGCTGATTCCCTCTGTCCCCTTGTCCTGGTATGCGCTGTTTACAGCTTTAAGAAGATTGTACAGAGCCGTAAAAAGTATGAGTTTACAAACCCAATTCCCAGGTAACAAGTTCCTGGAATCTCATTCCCTCATCACAAAACTAAGCAACAAAGCAAGGCCTCCACAAGTAATGTGGATCTATAAAATGTAACGGTTTAAATTTGCAACTTTAAGCGAGATTCTTATCTAAATACAGACATGTCTTTGCCTGTTGCCAACCACTTACAATGGAGCAATCGTTGTCTTCAAATGAAGTAACGTGGATCTATAAAATGTAACGGTTTAAATTTGCAACTTTAAGCGAGATTCTTATCTAAATACAGACATGTCTTTGCCTGCTGCCAACCACTTAGAATGGAGCAATCGTCTTCAAATGAAAACATGCCAGTGTGCACTGAAGAAGTGCATCACTGCAACCAGGCGATGTCCTGAGAAACAAAACTGTAATTGAGCCATTTTGTCGAGTGGAATCCCAAGCATTCACGTCCCGCCTGTATCAGTCCTACCACAGACATCCTGCGAAAGGTAGCTCTACAGCATTTGCAAGAATAATCGTAAATCATGATGGGGTCACCATCAGACCAACCAAAATAGTGATAAATAGCTCACACATGAAACAACTTTCTCTTGATCACCAAGGGTCTGACAAAAGTTTTCTTCTTTAGCGTGCATAAGACTTCTCAGTAGGTGAAAGGCAAAACGCACAACAGTTCCGTTTGCACGCAAGCATTCAAAGAAGGGACACCTGGCGTTTCCTGTAAAAGGGGGACAATCCAGGGTACCGAAGGGGGGGGGGGGCGGTAAACTGCGCGTGTAAACATATGCGGGCCCCGTTCGTAACCGAAAAACGACGGGAAATCCGCAACGTCACCACGGCCGGACGAGCGACGGCATGGAACGACCACGCATGGCCAACCCACGCACGGCGATGAATGGGCGCTCGGCGGCCAAGGTCGAAGCTGCCAAAATCACGCGTACGCAATCAGGCCCTTCCTTTCCTTCCTTTTCGCGAATGGGCTGGGTCAATCGCGCGCAAGCCCCAGTGCTCGCCTCACGCAACATCACCACTGGGGGAAACACGTACGATAAATCTCGCGGCCCAGAGCCAACACGGAAGCTGCAGCCGGCGCAAATTGGCAACTTCGCTTCATTTCCCTCGACGCTTCGTGCCATATTTTGCTGTTCACCGCGATCGAGTGAGGATTAAAGGGCAGCCGAGGCAGGCCGATTACGTCTCGCTCTAGCCGCAGATAAGGGAGGCAATCGCGCGGAGTGCTCTTCCATTCATAAAAATGGGAACTAGCCGAGCGTTTACTTCTCGTGGCGTCCTGCCAGTGTCATCACAGACGGTTTTCTTTCCTTTTTGTTTTTCTTTCCTAGACGAGAACATTGCCACCGAACCCCGACGCGCGGCCAACCGTCCTTTCGCTTTCTGTTTCGGAGACCAGTGCCAATAACAGCAGTCTAGTTTCCGAGCTTGATTCAAATTTGTGGCCGCCACTGGTACAGTTGTACTCTCTGGCCGTACGCGATTAGAAACTCCGGCTACTTTCCGGAGACTCGTCCATACGCGACATCAGTTCTGATCCCGGTGTTCACCTGTACGACGTGCGCCGTTACGCGATCGCGGTGGCAGTGCCGGTGTATCGATCGCGAAGCCCCTGCTAGAAAGAAGGGCATGGGAAGATATGGGGAGCGGGAAAAAAAATGAGCGCTGCGGAGTCTGGCGCGCGCAGCACTCTGTCGGGTCTGCCGAATTTTTTTTCGTGCGTGCGATGAGTTTACGCGGTGTCCTCACAACGGTGCGCACCCTGGTCGAGCTGGGCGGTTGTTGTGGCGCACTTCGGGGCTACGGAACGCAAAACCTGCTTCCAAACGGGCGCCGGAGTAGTGTGGGCGTCCGAGCACTTCCGCTCCTATGCGACACTTCTTTTTCATTATTACTTTTTTTTTTTTTGCTTTCGCTTTCCTTTTCCTCACGGATCGCTCCTGCGGCGAAGACGACGCGCGGGGGCGACTTCCGTTCGCCGAAATAAAGGAAAGAAACGACATGTCGTTTTGGCCGAGGAAAACTGAGACCACGTCGGAAAGCCGTGCCGAAGCGAGTCCCACGGAACGTCAGTACGGCAACGCCGGCGCGATCAGCGGCAAAGGTCGCACCGACAAAACACGGCTGTCGCACGCACACCGAGAAAGCACGGCGCCCACAGGACGCCCCGTAAAGGTTTACCTGTTCCTCAAAACGCGTGATGAGCGACGAAACCCACTCCACGGGCTTGGTGGCCATCGTCACTGGCGTCTGCAGGAACATCAACAGAGACCACCGAACATTTTGGACGCCATCTTCCTAATAGACGCGCAGCAAGCGCGCATGCGCTTTCTCCGCGTGCGCTATTGGTGGAACGCTCAATGGGCGTCGTCTGCTAGCGCGCGACGGTGCTGCCGCGCGTGGTCTGTTGTTTTGACGCAGCGATGGCGCGTTTTTTGGACCGTAATTTCTCCGAAAAGCAAACGTAACTCATTATCCACACAAGATGCATTGAAGATTATCAAACACCAGGTCATCGACAACAAAACGAGAGACGTGAGAGCCATTCTGGGCCTAGATCTAGAAAAAGCGTTTGACAACATCCACCACTCATTCATACTCGAAGCAATTTCCAAGCTTGGTCTGGGGAAAGCCTTCTATGACTACGTATGGTCCTTTCTTACAGATCGGAAAGCCGCGATGAAGATTTCAGATATCGAGACCGCAGCAATTGAACTAGAAGCAAGGGGCACGCCGCAAGGGGCAGTGATTTCACCAATGCTGTTCAACATTGCCATGATTCGACTGTCAAAGAAATTATCGAGCATTGAAGGATTGAAGCACAGCATCTACGCAGATGACATTACCATCTGGTGCACAGGTGGAAGCGAAGGGCAGATTGAGAGCGCTCTGCAAGAGGCGATTGACACCGTAGAAGACTACCTTCGCCCTTCCGGGCTCAAGTGCTCCTCGAGTAAGTCAGAACTTTTGCTTTATCGGACTGCACGCCGGGGACCGAAGCCCAGGTGATGGAAGCCGTTAAACCAGATAGACATCCACCTCCGTACAAATCAAGGGGATTCCATCCAGAGGGTCGACTCCATCAAAGTCCTGGGCATGCTGATAGAGTCTACCGGCGCCAACAGCAAATCTATAACCAAGTTAACTTGGAAAGCAGACAGTGCGGTGCACTTCATACGCATAGTGGCCAACAAAAGAAACGGGATCAAGGAAGACAACCTCATCAGGTTGATGCATGCGTTTGTTCTAAGCCACTTCACGTACGGGGCAGCAATGCACAACTGGTCAAGAGAGAGTCCGAGACACTGAATGTGCTCCTCAGGAAAGTTATCAAGAAGGTCCTGGGCCTACCCATACATACCAGCACCGAGCGTCTGCTTGAGCTCGGCATTCACAACACGCTCGAAGAAATAGCAGAAGCCCAAGAGAGAGCACAGTTTGCAAGATTATCTACAACAAGGTCGGGGAGAATGATCCTGCAGGAGCTGGGCCAACACTCAATGGCAATCAGGCACAATTACAATGATATCCCCGACAACATCAGGGAGAATACCACGGTGTCTCCTATACCATGAAACATGCATCCAGAACACAACGTCGGAAAAAGAGTAGCGAGGGCCAGGACTATACTTCGTGAAGTCTCAAACGAGGAACGAGGGATCGTATTTGTTGACGCGGCTTCCTACGCCAATGGGAAAGCGTTTGTGGCAGTGGTGGTCGATGGGGCTGGCAAGGTCGTCAACTCAGTGACGGTCAGGACGAAAGACCCAATCATTGCGGAACAGGTAGCCATCGCCTTAGCACTCAAGATGGATAACATTGAAGTCGTCTACAGTGATTCCAGCACTACAGTGACTCCAGCATTACGGACGTTCGCCAAGGGGACGGCGAACGCCCGTAGTGCTGCCATGGAATAACTGAACAAACGCTGAGAATACTGCAAGGCTCTGAACAAACGCTGAGAATACTGCAAGGCAAGAACATAACGCATCATCTTCTGAGTTGGTTCCCAGCTCACCCTGGGCAAATCAACGATTCCCCTCCCAATCTCAATGAAGCAGCACACGAGGCGGCGCGAGAACTCTCCAACCGCGCCTCCCCGGGGATGCGTTCTACCGGTGAAGGGGACAACCGGGAAATTCTTACAACATATAACAAGCTCACTAAACATTTCTACCTGTCTAGAAGGATTTTCCCTCCACCTCACAAAAATCTAACCCGGCCCCAAGCACTTACATTAAGGCTTTTGCAAACGCGGATGTACCCTACTTTGAAAATGTTACACATCATGTACCCTGACCTGTACGCAAGTAATCTTTGTCCACATTGTGGGGAAATAGCTTCATTAGAACACATGCTCTGGCAGTGCACCAAATTCGCTCATATATCGAACATCACCTCTGCCAGGTGGGAGGCGGCAATCCGCAGCTCATCCTTGGCAGATCGGCTCTGGGCTGTCCACCAAGCCCGCGAGGCGGCTGAGGAGCTTGGCATCTCAGTCCTCACGTGGGAGCTGCCCGCAATGCAGTGATCTGTGTTTTGGAGGACCAAATAAAAGTTTATCCAATCCAATCCAAAACGTAACTCATCTCTCCAAAATTATTTAACAATAGTTCTAAGTTCGAATGAGCATTCGATCCCCGTCATGATGGTCCCTCCAAACTAAAGCCTATAAATACGCATACGCTCACTGTATGAAAAAATTATTTCATACGACACACTGCAGCTGAGCAAAATTACCTGCCTTGATTGATTGATTGATATGTGGGGTTTAACATACCAAAACCACCATATGATTATGAGAGACGCCGTAGTGGAGGGCTCTGGAAATTTCGACCAACTGGGGTTCTTTAACATGCCCCCAAATCTGATTGATTGATTGATGTGTGGGGTTTAACGTCCCAAAACCACTTTATGATTATGAGAGACGCCGTAGTGGAGGGCTCCGGAAATTTAGACCACCTGGGGTTCTTTAACGTGCACCCAAATCTGAGCACACGGGCCTACAACATTTCCGCCTCCATCGGAAATGCAGCCGCCGCAGCCGGGATTCGAACCCGCGACCTGCAGGTCAGCAAATTACTTACCTTCTAACATCGCAACAGAACGAGAATTCAATTAATTTCAGAAAATTGTTCGCACTTATCTCATGTCCTGATTCTTACCCAATATTAACCAATTACGTGCTCGTTCATTTTTTTTTTTATTCTTGCCAGGTTTGGCACGCTTTCTGCCTTTAACTTGCTATTACTAGTGCCAAAGTCCGCCAAAGCTGCTATTGCCGTAGCACGGAGTGACAATACAGGGTGGTGGTGATGGTCCGCCCACCCTACCCCTGTCCCGATGTTTTTTACATTATGTATGTGTATGCATGTGCACGTACATGCAAAACATGCGTGGACGTATACATAAAGGGGGTCGGACGCATCCCGAAATATTTTCTGATTATGCACCAGCTTAATACTATAAATAGTGGATTGTTTTGTACCATAAAATTTATCATATTTTCAATCTATAACTACGACGTTTTTCATTATTATGTTACTCGTGTTCCACTGAAGTGACATGCTGCAATTATCATGATTCTTAAAATATATAGGAAGGGTTCTGTAGGTAGGGTTCCATCGCGTTTTCCTTTTTTTTTTTTTTTACTTCGTAGATGCTGCGCAACATTAATATGACTGCAAGATACTCCCACCATTTCCGATGGAGGCGGAAATGCTGTAGACCCGTGTGCTCAGATTTGGCTGCACGTTAAAGAACCCCAGGTGGTCAAAATTTCCGGAGCCCTCCACTACGGCGTCTCTCATAATCATATAGTGGTTTTGGGACGTTAAACGCCACATAACTATCAAACAATCAAGATACTCCCACACGTGCAATAGCATCTAACAGAGTACCCTTAGGCTACCATGAAATAAATGTTTTATGAAATAAAAACTTTGGAATGAAAAATGAATGAGACTGATATACGATGTTTCGAGAAATGCGGCCAATATCATTTGTGTTGAAATCACGCTAATTCAGTAGGCGAAACCAAAACCGACGCACCAAACAGTGCATGTACCATTCATTTCGAAAATGGCCTCAAAATGACGACACTCTATCCTTCGCCGTTATCAACCGCCAGTCTAGATACTTCGTTTCGAGGCAACGCTTTCCTGCCGCGTGGCTGCTTATTGAAGTTCGCTTATCCTCCTCCCCCAATGTGGTCGAAGCAGTGTCGTCATCGAGGGTGATTTCGAACTGAATAGGCTGTTTTGTGCGCCGCGGTTCCGCCTGCTGAATTAGCCATATTTCATCACTCCACGGTGATTACTAGTGGCGCACTTTCAGAAATTTCAAAGTGGATGTGTACCACTCGCAGGAAGGACCGCGATTCACCCATTCGACTCGACAAATCATTCCCGCTGGTTAAAAAGTTAATTGTTTTAATTTCTGTAATTGCTGCTGTAATTTATATTTTAACGCATCTTAGAATGCCCTCTGCCTCGCCGCAAGTGGCACGCAGATACCTCCTTTCTGTATTTTTTATTGTATTAAATTTTTTTAAAACACCCTGTATACTTAGGTCGCGACATCGCGCAGCTGACAGATTTCAAAAGCTGTGCGAAATTCAGCCACCTGGTCTGCTCCTTTAAGTTATTGTCATGTCATCAAACAAAAACCGTTTCTCCAGTACTGGTCAATCAATCTTCAGCTTAAAATATAGTTGCTGCACATGTTATTTTCATAATTACGGGAGCTAAAGTACAGTGGCGTGTTCTGCCTCTCTCCGCTTCCCTCGTGTGCCCTCGGTTGGGTGGCTCGCTCTCGTGGAGGATTTCAAGCTGAACGGTCGTGCCACCCGCGATCTCCGACGCCAGCGTAGCTCTCGCCGACTGGTTCGCCCTCCGCGACCTCCTGACGGCGTGTAACTCTCGCCGTGTGGTGCCCCGTCCTCGGACTACTTCGACCGCATCCCAACTTCCCTATCTCCTTCTTTTCCTGTCGCTTACCTGTCCTAGTTCTTTATTTATATCTTTCCACTATGCTTTTTATCCCTCTTACCCTACAAGGCACTGCGCCCTGTCGTTCATGAGGCAGACACATATTAGGTGCATTTTTCCTCTTTTCAAGAACCACGCACACACACTTCAATTCTTCCCTTTCTGTTGAGAAGAATCTGTTCATTCGCAAGCATGTGCGTGCGTGTGTTTCAGTAGTGCAACTTTCTCTCTCTATCTCTCTCTGTGGAGGAGGGAGGGGGCTGATAGCACCTTCCTTCTCACCCTCCATTGA